TGGAATTGACACCTTTCTTCAGGTACGCTTTTGTAGCCTACTCTCTTAGAAGCTTCTTAATTTGTACAATCCAAGTAAGGGAGTTATGCCACAGAACTGTAAGGGTTTACAGGCTGCGGGAGGGTTTTGAACAGGAACTTTACTAACGACGAGGAAGAGTAAAAAGGAGAACAGTAGATAGCGATTGACATTGCATTTACATTTTTGCAGATTAAAGTTGGCTGGAAAGCATGGAGCCGGGAGGGAGTTCTGCAAGAGAGAAGCGAGAGAAAAGTAACTGTTAATATAGAAGTAACGGTTACATCTAGCCAGCTCAGCTGTAAATTGGTGAATTTTGGTTGACAGTATAGTACTACGCTTAAATCCGAAGAATCCAGGAATTCTATTGAAGAGATCACCCGAACAATTACCATAGCAAACTATTTATAGAAAAGACAAAGGTAGGCAATCTTATGGTGCTTGAAAAGTGACTGAAGCCGAGACGGCTGATCATAGAGCAATGGCAGTAGTGTAACTCGCAATAAAGCATTTGAATGGATATTCGCTCTCGTTCGTATATATCACTTACATGTTATATTAATTATTTATGTAAATATTTATAGAAAAGGTTTAATCTTAATAAAAATATAACATAAATGTTAAGAATATTCTCAATATTTTAAAGTCACCCGCTTGCTTTTTAATGATTTTTTTAAAGGTTTGCTATTAACTGAAATATTTTTGAGATTTGTTAAAACCCACCATGAGAATAATATATATTCTTGTTGTGATGAGATAACCCAACTTCCCCATTCACGATAATGGACGGACTGGTTGCCGATTAAGTACGACCACAGCGGACAGTGAAAAAGGTCTTCGTTTGTTAACACCTATTGAGGTTAGCATACTTCCGACTCTGTCTCTGTATTTTGACATACCTACATCCGATTATAAAATTATTATTGAAAACCAACACTCGGGTTCACTTTGTTTATTATATCTTGCACGAGATATAACAATTCTCTTCGTATTCCTTTAGAAAATATGTTCCAGCCGGAGAGCTTTTTTCCAAGACCCGATTCTTTGTGTAACAGACTACCAAGAGTTAACTCCATTCTTAACTCCTCAAGAGAACCTTTATCTTTTTTACATGTCCTCATAAACTGCACTTTTTACCTCTTGATCTTACGTACATGCAACAATATCATTTAATAACCTTTCACTATGAGTGTCTTTTTGGCCTTGCATTTAATGAACGGTTAGTAAAATAATAACAAAATAAACCTGAAACATATTTTACCTGTGAAACCAAAAGGTGAAGTGTCGAGGGAACTTGAACTATTTTTGATCTGAGTCCATCAAAGCGTGATCTACCAAATCACTTTAAACTCGACCTAGTGACATATTTCATTCCATTTGGTGGGAGGTTATATCCAGTCTTTACCCGTGAAAACCAAACAATAAGATGCCGAAGTGGATGTGGCTTCAGCAATTTTTGACACTAGTCCACGTCCGCCTGGGTTACCTAACGCACCTTCTGATTGTGTTAGCGTACGGTTCAATACTAATTTTACTGGTAACATTACCAAAACCTTAAAGGATTTAGGTCCTGTAAGTCCTGTAAGAAAATAGTCCTTTAAGTAAAACAAGGAAAATAAAAACAAGACTATTTATTTCCTGATCGAATGATTCCGACTGATGATCGGAACTTTCCGGCCAAACACTGGAAATATTACGTAATTTGATGGATGAACTTATTGAGACATCTGTCTAAATTACGCGAGCATTTAATTCGCTCCTCGTTTAGTGAGTTTAGTCCATGATAGCATCAGGATATCTGTAGAGAATATATGTAGTGGTACCAGCTTTAAAAAACCTATATTTTCAATAACAAAATCACTCTTCTCTTTTCTTTCACCTATACGGGAAGCACTCCTCTCCAGCCGGTCAGTAAATAGTACTTTTCTTTACTTAGAAAAGTAGAAAATTGGAATCAGATTCTATTGTTAAGGAAAGTCGCAAATTTTTTTTTACCTTAGCCAGACTTTATTTTTTAAACCTATTTTATAGAGTAAATGACATGAAATTTCAATATGTTAGGAAATTTATATAGATTTTTTTTTTCTAAATATTTTTGGCGTCATAGACACATACACTTACGTATAAAAAGTATTTGATAATCAGTGATTTCTCTATAGATATGTAGTGCGATGACAAAGATAGTCCTTGTATATTTTTTATGTTTTCATTTATAGCTGACATATTTTTATCATATTTAGTTGACACATAGGCACCATTAGTCTGACACATCAACAAACGTAATTATATAATTAGTCTGTAGAAGTTAATTCTTGGAACGGAACGTATCCCTAATCAACTTCTTCATTATAATTTGCTTACCTACTATTTTTCTGCTGTTAACGATTGTGATGCGAACGAAAATCGCGCCTTTTTTCCCACAGTCAGACTTTACTTTTTTTTAACATATTTTGTGGACAAAATATGACACTATTTACATTGTTCGGACTATTGCCCGCATATTTATTGTTGTATTGACGACATTTTGGATAGTAGATATTAAGTAGTAGGTAGTATTATATATCTAGTTTAGTGTCATTGTTGTTGTTATTAATGTCATCATGTTATTTATAGCTTTATAGTTTCTATGCCTTTCTCTTACCATTGTAGATGAAATAATGAGGATTCTAGAGTTTTTTTTAAAATTATTTCTATGTGTATTTCTTCAAGATAATATTGATGATTGCAGAGTCTTAGTTCTTTTGTTCTATTCCAGTGTTGAGAATAGAAATTATTATTATTAAAAATAATAATAATAATAACATATATATATATATATATATATATATATGAGGCACGGTGGAGTAATGGACAGCAGAGCCGAGTTCGAATTCCAGTCGAATCCATTACATTCACTTACGTGCTAATACCCTTGGGAAAGGTATGAATTCTCTCCCTCCAGCTATGGGTAAAATAGCAGGGCAGACTAGGTTCTATAGCCTTGGATGGCAACTGGTCTAGGAGAAGGACAACTCTGAATTCAAAACCTGCGGAGGGTCGTTTAGGAACCTTGTGGCATTCGGTGCACCAGGTCTCTGTATTCGTCCCTTCAAAAAGTGTGGATGGTCCTGCACGAAGCCTTCATCACTATAATCAAATCTCATGTGCTGTTGTCGGGCTGTCGGTTTCCTGGAAACTGATCTGCTTGGCCCTCATACGTCGAATCTCGACGGGAGAGTCGATATATACACACACACACACACACACACACACACACACACACACACACACACACACACACACATATATATATATAGAGAGAGAGAGTGTAAATTTTTTGTTAAGATGTTAATAGTTAGTATTATATATCTATTTTTATCTAGTTTAGTGTCGTTGTTATTAATGTATTATATTACTTGTACCTCTATAGTTTGTATGCTTTTCTCTTAGCATTGGGGATGAAATAATGAGGATATTGGGAGTTAGAAAAATGTATATTTCTTAACAGAAATTAATAAGGTCATTCTTGTTTGTAGATTTACTGTAAACCTATAAACGAATGTCATTATTAGTTATGTATAACTTGGGAAGGATAAAAGGTTGCTGGTATCAGTAGATTCAAACGTAACATCTATTGTGGATTCGACTTTTGTCTTTATTCATATTGTTCTTTTACATATATAATATTTAGTTTCATCTGAAATTTTACGCGCATATATACATATATATATATATATATATATATATATATATATATATATATATATTACAGTGGACTGGTCATGTCTTGAGGATGTCTGATGACAGGATACCCAAAATCCTAATGTACAGTCAGTTAGATCAGGGGTACAGGAATGTAGGACGGCCATGGCTAAGATACAAAGACAAGCTGAAAAGTATCTTCTCAGCTGTCAATATACCACACAACGACGTTGAGCGCTTAGCCTTGAAGCGAGTAGAATGGAGATCAACGTGTTTTAGTGGGCTCAGCAGTTTTCAATTTGCTTGTCTGAATCATCTTCAAGAAGCGAAAGCAAGATCTAAAAGGTCAGCCAATCTAACAGTGATCTCATCCTCACTCTTGCTTCATATGTAGACTCCTTTGCAAACCACTAGCGGGTCTTAAGTGCCACTTAAGATTATCGCACACATTTTCATAACTGAATCACCTAAGCTGTCAGATCCTCATACGTCGAAACTAACGGAGAGTCCATTATATATATATATATATGTGTGTGTGTGTGTGTGTGTGTGTGGTGGACTTTCGCGTCTTATTTGATGTATGAGGGTCAAGCAGCTCCGTTCCTAGGAACCAACAATGAGACACCAGAGCGCATATGATTTGATTATAATGGGGAAACTTTTGTGCAGAACTAACCACACTTTTTGAAGGGCAGAATACAGAGACCAGTGCACTATGTGCCACAAGGTCCCCAAACTACCCTCTGCAGGTTTTGAATTAGGAGTTGTCCTTCTCTAAGTAGAGTTGCCATCCAAGGCTATAGATCCCAGTCTTTCCTGCTATTTACTCATAGCTGGAGAAGAGAATTTATACCTTTCCCTAAAGGTATTAGCACGTAAGTGAATGTAATGGATTCGACCTTGTGTTTCCTCGTGTATAAACAAGAATAAATACATACCTGTTATTTATTTATTTGTAAAGTTAACTTAAAGTCAGTCTGTCAAGTGCCATGTGTGATACCCACTTGGGCAACCATGTCTTTTTCGATTCATGCCTGACTAGGCAGAAGATTTTCCCATAGTATGGTAAACTGGTTGCAAACCAAGGCTATAGGATCCCGTCTGTCCTATCCATAGCTGAGGGTAGGGAGAAGAGATGGATTCATATCCTTCCCCAAGGGTAATTCCGCGTAAGTGGATGTAATGAATCTGACTGGAATTCGAACACGGCTTTCCGACTTCTCATTCCGATACCCATGACTCACCAACGCACATCATTACACATCACAAATGTTGATATTGAAACAAAAAGAAATACTTACGCGTAGCTGTAAGTTGTAAATAGACAAGAAAACCCAGGCAGTAAAAAGCATGGTCAACTCTTTTGCACATCTTTTTCTAACACGATTTTATCTCAAAAACTGCAAAAAAAAAAATAAAAATAAAAAGAAAATGAAAAGGAGATAAAAAAAGTATCATTATTTAACAATTATGAGAAGTAGATATATAATTTATTTAAAAAAAAAAAGATCAATATAAATACACCTGACACACGTCCACGATCAAGCAACGTTTCGCATAAAGAAATAACCGAATTCTCTGTTTTACAGCCCAGACCATTTCTACCGTCTGGAAAGTGAATATTTGCAATGTTGCAAGCTCCGTTGCAGGCAGTACGTTGGAGTTCCGCAAAGACGTCATTTATGATGTGCCTAAGAAAGAGAGTAGAGGAAAAATGACATATTTGGCTTGCCCCGATTGATGTGTAGAATCGGTTTCCAATGGAACTCTGAATAGTACACCACTACCAGCCTTACCCTGCAACTAGTGGATGGTATGGATCAGTCTTTTACGCATATTAACTTCCTTCATTGTAGTCAGTTATCTTAGACATAACAAAACAGGGTTAATTATTTGTAACCACCGTAAACACACGTGTATAAGTCGGCTTAATGTATAGTGCGACCCCTGAAATTCTTTTGCATCAATTTTAACCCCTTCAAAAGAATTTACCTGTGTATTGTAGTAGCTGGTCACCGAATTTCAATGAATATTAATGACAAAGAAGACTGGATATTCAAGTCTGAAGTAGCAAGCATTCCAGAAGAAAAACGAGTCAAATTTCGAAATTTTTCTTTTCTACGTTATTTAAACAAAGAATTATATTATTAATGATGTAGTGTCAGTGCGTAATATACGTGCTAATTAACTAAGTGACTACGTGATATACTCGTGTACAAGGCAACTTTATGTATCAACCCCAGTAAATAAATAATCTATTTTGCGAAGTTAAGTCTGCGAAAAAAGCAATAATTAAAATGACATAACTGCAAACCACACACACACATATATACATATATATATATATATATATATATATATATATATATATATATATATATATATATATATATTAATCGGACTATTGTCCTCATCTTTGTCCTCATATTTATCACAACGTTTCGGCCGTTGTCCTCAAAGACACATGACACAGTGGATAAAGGCGTTGGTTCGATCCAGTGACAGGACCCAAAGAGTGTGAGTTCAATAACTGGTTAAGGCAGTGGAGAACTTTCAGAGGGAAATTAACAGGAGATAACTGACAACCATCAAACATGGCACGTGGAACTAGAACAGTCTACCCCGGTGAGCGAAATAAAGGGTTCAGTTCGACATTCCAACCACCTGAGGAAGGCCGGACCGTTCAACGGCCGAAACGTTGTGATAAATATGGCGACAAAGATGAGGACAATAGTTCGAATAATGTAAATAATGTATATATATATATATATATATATATATATATATATATATATATATATATGTTTATGTGTGTATAAAATAGGATATAGAATCCCAACAAAGTTTTAAAAAATATGACAAATGGAAAAAACATTCCATTGAAAGCAGATTTGATTTTTGTCGTGTTTGGATCCGATGACGGCCAGAAAGGCCAAACGCGTAATCAAATCTAGTTTCAATGAAACATTTTCCAATTGATATATATATATATATATATATATATATATATATATATTACGAAATGGACAAAGTACGACAATTATTTAATATATTTTATTGTTATACGTTATTTATATAGACACAAATATTTAAGCAAATGCCCTGTTTATAATAAACAGTATTAACGACATTTACCAGCCTGAACGTCCGAGAAGTTTTTATAGAAAATATGTCTCCTCCGACAGGAATCGAACCTGTATCCTACACTGAACCGCCATATATTTATAATCTTCCATGATATTCCTCGAATGTTCATATCTGCTCGAAGATTATCTAAACGTAAACAAATTTGTGTCTACATAAATAACGTATATCAATAAACTATATTACAATAATTGTCGGACTTTGTCCATTTCGTAGTGTGTGACGTCATTTGTTAATGTAGTTTAAAATTCGACCTTGCTAACCAGACGCTCCCCTGTAGCTAAACTGGTGTAGCACGTCAGGCTATATGACGGTTCCGTGTAGGATACAGGTTCGATTCCTGTCGGGGGACATAAAATTTCTATGAAATTTCTTGGACGTTCAGGTAGGTAAATGTTGTTAATACTGTTTATTATGAACATTTACTCAGATATTTGTGTCTATATAAATAATGAGTAACTATATATATATATATATATATATATATATATATATATATGATAAAATAAAGAACAAATAGGGAACATTATCACTTTTATTAAAGCTTCATCAGTGATTGAAAGGAAAAGACAGAAAGACAGAAATTACTTTTTTCCTATTCATTTTTTACCTTATCATTCTGTTGGATTTCCATCCATATTTGATCTGCATTTGATCTTTAACTCTCTTTCTCTCTCTGTCTCTCTGCATATTGATTTATTACACCGAAAACATGGCGCCCTTGGTATGACGATAAACTACGTACAACAACAAGGCCTCTGATCAGGAGGTTTTAAGGAGCGTAGAACCACCATTTAATTGCTTAATTAGTTCCCAGGTCCAACCCTGACCCGGGGTGGTAGCACCTGTTAGGGGTCCCAACTATGGGCAAGTAGTCAACCCCCAAACTGGGGTTAAAATACTATGAAAATGTAAAAATAGATTTTAATACCAGAAGTACTTTGTAAAAAATTATTACCAACAATGCATATTTGGAAAAAAAATTACCAGAAATAGATCACTAGGTTTGACTAAGTCTGCTCTACGGTTGTATTGAGCTCTTCTTAATTAGTTGTTTAATCGTGTAGTTTTTTTTTCTTTAGGCTTTGAACCTGTATCTGTGCGATTTTTTCGACAGACTTTCATGTTCCTGGTTCTTTCTTTTTTAAAACCTTTTTTTCCATCGAAATTGATTTGATTATTGCCAAATCAAAAATTCGAAGGTTTTTCAAGACAGTATAGTTACCTATATATATATATATATATATATATATATAGGTTACTATATATATATATATATATATATATATATATATATATATATATATATATATATATATATATATATATATATATATATATTGAGAGCTGTACAAAAAATCCAAAATTACGTCAAAGTTAATTTCTAATTCCCACACGAACTCAGTCTATACCGGTGTTGAATAAGACTGACGAATTTCATCAGTTGAAATAAGCCTATTATAACCACATATGAGGTAATTTTAGATTTTATTGTGTACTAATTATTTGCTCTGTAAAAATAAATACATTGAGCTCTTTTTGTGGGTCAGTTTTAATATTTTATATTACTAGGATCCACTTCGATTATATACCAACAGATTTATTACCTTTACTATCTCTCTCTCTCTCTCTCTATATATATATATATATATATATATATATATATATATATATATATTCTATAAAAACGAAAATAAACTAAATAATAATTGCACTATTAAAAAAACACCAGCAATAACAACATTTACTCACTTTCGTCTATACCAAATTGAATTACATCACTTAGCATCTTCCATAGTTTATCTTGATTTTCAATATATTTCTGACCATTCTTACATCAAATTTTTTTTGTCAAGCCGACACCATTTCTACTTCTCTTTATAAATACTTGTTGCACAATAATATATGTCTTGATGAAGCCAATCAGAAGGCGAAACGTGTCCGCTAAGAAAAGTTTTCCTATTGACTTTATTATATTGTCTTTTTTACAGATATGCTTTTAATTATATCTGAATTTTTACACACACACACACACACACACGCACACACGCACACACACGCACATATATATATTTATATGTAAAAATTCAGATATAAGTAAAAGCATATCTGTAAAAATATTATATGATAAAAAATAAGAATATATATATATATATATATATATATATATATATATATATATATATATATATATATATATATATATATATATATATATATATATATATATATATATGTGTGTGTGTGTGTGTGTAACATTTGATAAATATAATGAGACTAAATTTTCTGTATATAAAAAATTAAAAAATAATTTTGTATTTAGTTAAATTAAAGTCTGGCGAATCAGGGTTATATGGATTCGGATCTTTCTTATAAATGAAAATAATCTATAAAAGCTAGTTTAACATGTTATATTTACAAACTATAGAATTGTTTGACGCAAGGTTTAATAGAAGTAAGATGGCGTTGCGTCAGTTTTGTTATTCACGGCACGGGATTAAAAAAAAATCGGCATTTAATATCATGGGTTGATTATCGACAACAAACAGAAACCCGAAACAACATCAGCATAAATAAATTCATTGATTTAATTTTAAAAATTTAATTTAAAAAATCTAGTGCAATTACTAAAATTGTTAGTCGATTATTAATTCCCTTTTATGTTGTTTCTATTTGATTTTTTTTATTAGATGAACAAATTCTGGCAATGATTTGGTTCTATAAATAAATTGAACACTCAAACCTCGGGTCGTTTTTCTGGAGCGAACAATAAAAGACCGAATTGAAAATGGCCTGACGTGAACAATAACTCGCAGTGTCGCTTTTGGTTGCTTCTTTTGCTAATCTTATGGCAAACAAAACTGTCTTCATCCATTTTTGATTAAAACTTTCTCCGCCTGTCTTTCGTTACCCAAACCTTACAGCCTTTTTCTTTATTGAAGATCTTACCTTCACATTTGGCATTCCTTCTTGCTTCGTGCCTCTTGCTGAGGTGGAGAAGATGATTCTGGTTACTTTCTTTCGTCTCTACGTGATTTTGCAAATATCTAATTCTATTATTCCAAGATAAACAGGAAAAAAAAGATTAAGCCTTTTCCCCCACCATCCTTATACATAATAAAATATTCGAAGTCTTTCTAGTCCAAATCCACGGAGACGTTTACCAGAACAGTATTCCAATCTTAAAATAAATCGTTCCCAAGACTACAGACAAATCTTCGAACATT